GAAAACTTGTAATATAAGAAACAATTGCCTTATTGTAGGTAATTAACTGGAGAAATTACCCTATTCACCTGGGGTGTCTTGCCTTAACTAGGCTTAATAAACCATTAGACCTACATCACTTAGCAACAGCTGCACATGCCCACATGCTAACTATGGGTCTTACAAACCTACATAACATTACAAATAGTCAGAAAATATTATTTACAATATTAATAAAACTATGAATTCAATTTTAACTGATTGACAAGGCCAAACACTGCACAGCGGCAGCAGCATTAAAGGAAAAAAATCGTCTTACCTTGTGTTGGGGCTTCACAAAACTCCAAATGTAGCCTGGGCTGGCACTAATGAAGACCCTCATTAGAGCAGATACATCCACATTGTCCAAAATGGACTATGGACATGCATCAAAGTCAGATGTGTCAGTCTCTTCTGTGTCATATTACTCTAGTTGTAGAGGTGGTGGGCTGAGGAGTAGCTGGTGGTCCACTCTTTTTATTGGGTTGTTTGTTGGAGAAAACAATCCAAAATCCTTTTTTGCGCCATTCTAGAAAGTTTTCACTCTGCAGTGTGTGTGTCGCGTCAATTACGTCACTCTCCCAAGACCTACGACCTAGATGACTCGGATTTTACTTATTTGGAAAATAAATTCAAGCCACCTGATATATACAAATATATACTATGACTATTATATGCTACTGTATACAGCTAATTTTATTTTAAGTAAAATCATAACTATTTTATGTAGTTTAATCATTTTTATTTAGGTGGTCACTCAGTTTTTCAAATGTACACCACTCGCCAACAGGGGGTGCTGCAGCGATCATGAAAATGTTTCCAATAAATGAATAAAATGATTTTTGACCACTTGGTTGTTCAGATATATCACATATTTGTAACTAAATGATACATGAATTGAAACAAAACATGGTATAAACTGAGGAGTGAGTCCCGTGAGTTTCATGTATTTTCTTCACTCCGCTGGGAAACTGCTCTCATGTCAAGAAGCATGAGATCAGTGCATGCACTGCATCGTCCAATCAGTGAGCGATACACAGTAAGGGGGCGGGGCGAGTATCTGAGGATTTCATCGGAGGATGGTCTGGTGGTTCCTCCATTATCGCTCCTCTATTATCGCTCCTCGGTCCTCCGGCAGAAATAAGAGCCATGGGATGTCACTGGGCCCTTCTCACTTCTCTTATTTTTCATTTCCTCGGTCTCGTTCTCACCGGAAGTCGATTTGTCTGCGCCATCTTGAGTAGCGTCCCAATGGCCTTATTTTTGCCGGAGGAGCGAGGAGCGAGGAGCGAGGAGCGAGGAGCGATAATGGAGGAGCGATAACCGAGGAACCATCAGACCATCCTCCGATGAAATCCTCAGACACTCGCCCAGCCCCTTACTGTGTATCGCTCACTGATTGGACGATGCAGCGCATGCACTGATCTGATGCTTCTTGACATGAGAGCAGAGTGAAGAAAATACATGAACCTCATGGGAGTCACTCCTCAGTTTATATCGTGTTTTGTTTCAATTCATGTATCATTTAGTTACAAATATGTGATATATCTGAACAACAAAGTGGTCAAAAATCATTTTATTCATTTTTTGGAAACATTTTCATGATCGCTTTTTTCGTTTTACATTTTCATTTATTGTCATTTCCATTCAATCAGTCATTAAGTGCTATTTAAAATGTGAATTTGCTACATATCCACACAAACAAACAAAGTGTGCAATCCAATGCATGTTAATCTAACTGGGTTTTGATAGATAACATATCTCTTTTTCTTCTCTCAATTATTTTATTTCTATTGTGCACTCTAATCAATATTAATCAAACTATTGTTCGTTTATACATTTTAAGAATGGCGTTTATCTTTTTTGAGAATTAGTTCTTATTTTATTTTTATTTATTTGGGTCTACAACAGATGATACAAATGTTTGTGTCAGTAAATGTGTACTAACAGAGGCGGGGGTGTTTGTGAAAATAACGGGAACAGAGCTGCTAGGCTTGTTTGAGACGCGTTGCGGCTCGCCTCGAAAGTAGACGAGAGTAGCCGATCGCAGCCGGGGGAGGTCTCAAAAAGCTCGCCTGAAGTCGGACAGCTACGAGTCGGCTTCTTCTTCTTAATCTTCTTCTTCGCCTTCTTCTTTTTCTTCTTCTCTCGGTTATTTGGCGGATTGCAAACAGCTTGAAGGTGCATACCGCCACCTCCGGAGTCGGCTTGACTCGGTTTGCATTTATAAAGAATGCACACATGTGTTTAATCGTTAATGTCAGATATGTACTAAGTAAATACATTTGTTCCTGCTCAAGATTAGATTCAACTTTATTGTTATTGCACATATTACAGGTACTGAGACAACGAAATGCAGTTTAGCTTCTAACCAGGAGTGCAACAAGCAGTAAAGTGAAAAGTAATGTACACAATAGACAGAATAAAATATAGAATGAATTGAATGATGAATAAACAGTGAGGGGTATGAATACACTAGATATCAGCCTGTGAGCAGTATGAACAGTGTGTATGAATATGCTAAGATATATAAAGTATGAAAACGGTAAGCAGTGCAAGTATAGTATAAAATATATGGATATTAATTTCATTATGATAAATATTGTGGAACAATGGTGAAAAATGGGAATGGATGTGGCGACGTAAAACTGACACAAAACAACAACAAACTTTTGCCGAGCCAATTGGAGAGTTTCATCAGCAGCCCGTGGAAAAAACATCCAATGAGCGCTCAGCTCGAGATACCAGCGAGTCGTTTCCCATCAAGCATTTCGCTTCCGCAGCCCGTGGAGAGGAACTGCGCCGCCTCGCCGCGCCTCGCTCTCAAGGCTGCGGGCGTCTTTGTCCCGCGAGATTTCAACGTCTCATGTAGGCGGGCCTCCAGAGCAAGTCGGACAAAATGACTAACCATCATGCAACGCACTAGCAAGACGTTGATCGCAACTGCGCAGGTCTCGCTTGTCTCAAACAAGCCTGCTGTCAGACGATCAGCTGTGCAGCGTCATCACAAACGGACGTCGCTTCACGTGACGCTCCGGAGGAAAGGACGTCCCATTGCTCTTAAAACTAATTTCCCTGCTTCTCGTGGTTTCCTTGCGTCCCTCCATGCTTCCCTGGTGGGAGGGACTAGACGCAGGGAAACGACGCAAGTGAGGGACGCAAGGAATCCATTTAACCGAAGTGAGAAGGACCCACTGTCACTACCCGATCCGTCAACCTGCCCGATCTGTACTGCGTATGTGCGAGATGGTCCGCCATATTGGACAACTCCGGACGGCAACCCAAGTAGGACACTTGACACAGTGGCTTTTGGCAAAGCTAAAAAATAAAACTCGAGAGAGATGAGTTATTATTACAACGTGACTTCACTATTATTTAACAACTCTTTTTATTGGTTTCTTTTATTTGGGGTGAAGTACTCTCAAAAAGAGAGAGAAGGATTTCAAGATGGCGCCTGTGTCGGCATGCAGCTCTCTGCCTTTAGCTATCCTGTTTTTGTTTTATGTTTGTCAGAATGTCCCTGCTCTGCTCGTCTATGATCGCCAAGCTCTCCTCCACCTAAGACCCTCACTGGAGTTTATACTGCTGCCCAAACCTATATGGCAACCATAAATCGACTCCCCCCCCCCCCTCTACTGTCAGATATTCCCACCTACCTGCGCAGGTTGCCCTGCATCCGGCCTCACCGAAAGCGCTTTAGGCGACGGGGAAAGCGTGGTGGCGTGCTTGTCCATCAAAAAGCACACCTGACGGCTTCTTCCGTGACTTATCCACGCATCAGATGTCCTGGCCCTCCCGCTGCACGCCATCCGAGGGTTCGGTGGATTCGCCCTGTCTTTCCGGAGCTGCGGCCTCTGCTGGGCCCGCTGGCAGCTCCTCCTGCCCGACTGACTGCTCCCGGTCCGCGCGGCGTTCAACACGCACATCTTCGTCAGCTGAGACGCACTACAGCTTCGGCCAGCCCGGAGAGAAAACTCTGCATGGTTTTGCTAAATTCTAGGTCAATAGCAAACAAGACGTTCCTGTTAAACGACTTCTTCACCTCTCATGATCTGGATTTAATGTTCCTGACGGAGACCTGGGTCCACACCGGCGAGTATGTACCGTTTTCTGAACTTCTTCCTACCGACTGTACTTTCTTCAGCTCCCCCCGTACCACCGGCCGTGGTGGGGGTATAGCTTCAGTGTTTAGAGCTAATCTCGTTTGCTTCACCCAGTAACTAGCTATGCTATCTTTGAGTTGCAGCTTTTTGAATTGAACCTAGCCTCGCCTATACTCTGCGCAGTCGTGTATCGTCCGCCAAAGTACAATAATGATTTTATAACTGACTTTTCTGACTTTCTGTCCGGGATCATGGTGAAATATGATCGTGTTTTGATCTGCGGAGACTTTAATGTCCATGTGTGCTGCGAGTCTAAACCTCTGGTTAGGGATTTTTTAAACCTCCTCGACTCTTTCGGTCTCATTCAGTCTGTGGCTGGCCCAACAGATAAAGGACACACCTTAGACTTAGTATTATCGTTTGGATTGTCTATCTCTGTGGATGAAATCTGTGCAGGAACGCGTATCTCAGACCATTTACCGGTTCTGTTTAAAACCTCGATCCCTTTTGTAGGAGTCGATTCACGTGCTCCTGCGCGTTGTCTGCGTTCAATAGACCTATCGCGAAACCACGCCCCAAATAGAATTTGTCCAATCATATCACAGCGAAAATCCCTCCTGACAGAAAACTCGGACATCACCAGAAAAGCCGTTTGTGGGGCGCATCAAACCAAAACCAGACGTCTGTGATCGAAACCACTGTGAAGAGTTCAGTTTCTATGTTTATTATCTAGCTAATATCTGATGGTGAAACGCTGTGCGTGGGGTACCTGTAATTTCGGACACCAGGTACCCTGAAAGACTGGATGGAGGAGTATATTTCGTACCTTTTCCGAAACCCAAAAGAAAACTCGACAAATGCAAGCGGTGGATTATGCTGTGTCGTCAACCACATACACAACTGAATGTGAAGACAATTATCAAGGACACTTATGTTTGCTCAAAGGTAAGGTCAATTCATAAAGACATCATATTTGACGGTATGTATTAGAAACGTAGACCAAACTATTAGTTTGCTAACGATTGACTTTGACTGCCAACTAGCTAGCGTATATCCAGCCCAGCTAGCTAACGTTAGCTGCCAACTTGTTAGCCAGCTAACTAGCTACAGTGTTATCAACATCAACGTTTGCTGTCTGACTTTTCGTCCTCGCTAGTTAGCTGGTGTTTTTAGCTAACTTTTGCTAACTGTCTTTTCACCTCAAAGCACTTCAGAGATGGGAAGCCAACTCTGGAATATCAGATCCCATCCGGGCTCTCGTGTGTGCTGCTCCGAAAAGACACAGACCCTCACCCAAGAGAAGGTAACGCTACAGTCAGCCAGGTGCATAACAGTGAAAATGATGACCAACAAGGACAGTTATAGTTATAGATTTAATGTAGTGACCACCACTGCTAACATTCAACATCATATTATCATTTCAATGGTTACACAACAGTCACCACTACACACGACAGGCAACAAGATTAGATATTTTATATAAAGAAATACATGGCTACCTTTTTACCTTTTTAACTGTTAACTTTCATCTGCTGTTGCTTTTATTAGCTCTTGCTTCTATTTTAATGTTATTTTAACTTGAACTCCCCCCGCGGCCATTGTCAAGAGTCATTCACGGTCGGCTTTGTTTGTCCGAGTTTTCAAAGGGGGCGTGGCTTAGCGATAGGTCTATTAACCCCTTGTCTGCCTCACAGTTTTCAGATGCTTTTAATACTTATCCGATTTGTAAATTAGAGGTGAACTGTGCTTTTAGTGCGGGTAAGCTTATCTCTTTGTTTGATTCGACATGCACACTAATAATGGATTCCGTTGCTCCTTTTACGCTTAGACGCAACAAAGTTCTCTCAGAGCCGTGGCTCAATGATTGTACTCGCTCTTTTAGACGTGCTTGTAGGCGTGCAGAGATAAAATGGAAAAAAGATAAACTTCATGTCTCCTTAGAAATTCTTTGTGCTTTGTTGGAGTTAGTGGTTTTAAAACCCACCTCGGCTCCGCGTGTTCGTTTTGTGAATGGGTCAGATTAACAGAGGAAGAATTCACAGCAACCATTGGTAAGGTTATAACAAATATGCTGATTTAATGGCCAAAGACACAATAACACTATTTCACGGAGTAATCCGGATTACCCCGGCCCTGGTTCCTCCCGCTGGGAAAGCTTACTTACTTCGTCTTGGCAGCAGGAGAAAAGAGACACCAGGACTCAACAGGAGATATTGTAAAAAAAACAAGGGAGGAGTCGGGTGAAATTCTCCTCCCACAGAGCCCATCCTGCAGCATTCCAGAAACTTCAGTTGTGTCAAAAGAATATTCCCTTGCTCACAAAGATAACACACAGATTTAATCTCTCATATCTCCAATTTCTGGTTACACAGACTCATGCCCGGCGCCGTGGGAGGGCCAGGGAGGGCCAGGCCCTCCCATTTGACATTCCTGCCCTCCCCCAATAAACACGTTTTTTATTATTTATAAAAATTAAAAAATATATATATTTTATTTTTTTAATTATAAATAAACTGTGAACTTTTATGCTACGATGTATGTGATGTCAGAACAAACAAAAAAAATCGCAGGCTACGTCAAATAAATGCATGTGTCTGTGATTTGTGATTCGTCCCCATTTAGACCAATCACAGCGTCACACTCTGCCGCCTATTCTGGATTTGTTTATTGTGCATTCTGTAGACTCCCATTTCTGTTTGAATTACAAAATGGACATAAAAAATTGGCTCAAAAGGTCTAAGGATTTATTAAAACGAAATAGCGATGAAAGAACTGCAGCCGATGGTGCTGCTGGCGACCCTGCACCTGCCGTTGCAGCAGCACGCCTTAATGTCACAAGCTTGACCTCGGCAAACCCCGGGACTGAGTTAGCGATGATCTTGGGGTTAATAAACTCAAGCAGGTGAAGCTGGATCGTTATCCAGGGAGATTGTTTTCAGGAAAGAAGCGCACTTTTGCCGCTGCATGGTACACAACAGACCGGCTTGAATATTCGTTAAAAGCAGACGCAGCCTTTTGTTTCCCCTGTAGACAGTTTAAAGTGAATACGTCTTCATCTGATGCGGCTTTTACTGTCAAAGGTTTTTACGACTGGAAACACGCATTACAGACTGATAAAGGACTGCTAAGGCATGCCGCATCAAAAGAACACATTTCATGTGAGAGTTTGTGGAGAGAGAGACAGATACGCGAGGAAACAAATAAGGAAATGAGTACTTTGGTGCAGATCAGCTGGCACGGAGCCGTTATTACGTGTCAGCTGTCGTTTATATTATAGCTTTTTTAGCTGTCAACCTTGCTCGTGATTTACCTGTGTTTGTGCTGCCACGCACACAATGTTTCAAAGTGGTTTCTATGTTGCCCTTTATTTGTGTATGTTTGCGATAAGTGTGCGTCTTTACGCAATGCTGTTGGCCTTGCTGTTTGATATATATTGTGCCGCAGGCCCGCAGCACGTGACGGTTTTGTGTGCCCTCCCATGAAAATCATAGGCCCTCCCTTTAGATTTGTTCTGGCGCCGGGTCTGCACAGACTGCTTATTATTAATACAAAGTAATTCAACACACACATCTACTATTCAAGATATGTAGACTTCTCTGACCTGCTGGAGATCCTAAGAAGAATATCCCCTTCCCCCCCCCCCTAGTCTCCTGTCCTGCCTAACTGCACCCCCTTTATGTTGTAGCAATTTTAGTCCTCACATTTATGAAAGAATAAAACAGAGAAATCAATATAAAACACAAGTACAGGTATCGTTTTGAGCAGTAATCCCATCTAGCTGCTGCTAGACACACTTCTTCCCCAAACATCTTTAATGCACACACATCTTTATCATTAACAGAAGTTGATTGTTCTTGTAGCCGAAAGGCTTCTGTGAACTTCCCTTCACCTCGGAGTCTGCTTTACTGGACTGAATACATTTATTGATAATTCAGAAGGACTATTGTCTCTCTTAACCATGTGACTCAATTCTCAAGGCTTTGTATGGGTCTGCCTGCCATGCATCATTAACTACAAGAATGTAACTGCATTAAATCTGAGGAAAATCCCCCCCTGGCTTCCCCTGTTACTTGCCCAGACTATTGATAATTAACAGAGAAACTCAAGGGGCCTCCTTCCATATCTGGAAATTGCAACAAGACTTTCTGCCATTCAAACGTAACACTTCTTATATATCAGGTGATAAAGTCTTCAATTCTCCACAGCTTGCCTTTCCGATTATCAGACTTAAAACTTAAACAAGGCATTTTGAAACATATCCCCTGTCATTCTTTTCTCAACTCAACATTGTATAAATCTATCAGAAACTGAGACCCAAAGTACTTGAAATCTTTGGGAACAGAACACCACTTTCCATGGCAGTGAAGGAACCATGAGAGGTGTAACCTGAGTGCTAGAAAGCAGTCTCCTTGTGGTGAATCATCAGCCCTCCCCCTCGGAGGAATAGCCAACAAGGACAGCTGATAGGGAGGGGGAGATGTGGCTTTCCCTTCACGGGTGGAACTGATCAGAGAGAAGTAGACTCCTCTGCTGCCTCGACAAGTCCCCCAGCCCGCTGACAGCCGCTTCCGAGTAGTCTGCTGTAGGGCTGTCCTCAGGATCCTGCTCCTCCAGTCCACTGATGGCTGCTTCCGAGTAGTCCTCCTCTGCGAGGGCCACGTCCGCCCTGATGTCGTCCCCTGGTCCTAGCAGGTGGTTTCCCCGCCGCACACTGGCTTCCGTGGTACGAGCTGTCCCCCTTTCCTCCTATTGCGGATGGCATGAGAGATCCGCTGGGTCACTCGGTCGGGGCCGGAGAGCCTGGGGTTGAGCCACTTTGTCCTGATGACCTTCAGCCAGACAAACTCCGCTGTGTCAGCCTCCTGCGTCCCCCTTTTGGCGCCAGCAACCTGTGTGGAGAAATCTGATACAAATCCCTCAAGCCTACGCTCAGGGCTCCTGGGCCCTCAGCTATTTGGCCCACCACTGCGTAGGCCGCTTGGAGCCTGTTGGTGGGGTGTCTTAAAACAACAGACGTCTGTGAACAGGTTTTCTAAATTAATTGTAGACCTCCTATCTGCCAGTGCAGCTTCAGAATCTTAATACTTGGACTGTGCTAACTAAATAAGAACCCCAACATCTTTAGGTAAACTAAATAACATATTTCAATAGCTCTGAATTTATGACAAGCATCTGTGTTTATTTTTAAATAAAATCCTTGAGATCCCATTTAAAATCTAAATATAATATGAACTGCTAATGTTTCTGTTAAAGAAACACACTAATGTTATAGATTCAAAAACAACCAAAATCATGATACTGACAAAGTGAATGATTTCCTGGTGATATTGCTTTTACCCTTAGATATTATCACGCTGAAAAAATGAATACAGAATTCCAACAAACTGTCATCAAATGTCTTTCTATTATGAATTTAGATGAAATGTATATCCCCATAATGACCTAAACAATAAAGTCTATGGCTTTTACTTCTTTACCAGGCTAGTTACATGATGTTGTCTAAATTAAATTCTGTCTCATTACATTACTATGTTTTAGCTTTAACTGTAATATGTTCTTTCTACATTTCAAACCTCAGTTACTTTAATACCTGTTGAAACATTACTCACAGGTCAACTTCTTCAGTATTCCATTCTGGAGTTACATCTCTCACATCTCCCTTGGCCACTGATTCTGCATCTGTGTTACCTGTTATAACTCAATCAATATTAGAAACATGTCAACATTCATCAAACAGTATCTTATCCCCAGATATGGAGCAGGTCAATTCTAAAACTGTCAATCAATAGTCAGATTGAACAATCGAGTTGGGGCAGCAGGTTCCTTTCAGTCCCTAAATGAAAAATGTACAGTGTGAAGTTTACACTCCCCCTTTTTACACATGAACTCATGTGTAACCAAAATCCTGTATGGGAAGAAAACCTTCAGGTAATAATGGATTATAAGAAAATACCAAACATTTTTCCCAAATGTACATCCATCATTTCCACAGTAAACACTTCAGTGAAATGAAGTGTTTCTCTCCATCATTCAGTCCTAAAAGAAACAGAATCTTCATGTTTTAGTTTGAGTTTCACATTCTGCAAACTCCTGTGGGAGTGCACAAGTGCGGTTTTCCAATTCTGTGGAATTGTGTTGAGCCCCAGAATAATGTGTTAGTCCAAAAGCATGCTTGATTAGTCATTGTTTTAAATCATGCAGTTGCACTGATCACATGCAGACATACACTCACATTCACACTCACACTGTCAGGTTGTAAAGTCAAGTTTGGTCAGGTACACCCCAGAGTCAGTCATTGACAGT